TGTTTTCTGCCCAAAACAAATCCTAGCCCTCCACGCCACCACCTCCATCTCCCCTTTACCCCCAACTCACGGTAGTGCTATGAAAGATCCAAACTGGCATGCTGCTATGTGTGATGAATATAATGCTTTGTTAAAGAATGACACATGGGAACTAGTGCCCCCCTCCCCCAACCAAAACATAATCACCTGTAAATGGCTCTTCAGACACAAATTTGGCCCGTCTGGTGAGTTATCCAGGTATAAGGCCCGATGGGTGGTCCCGGATTCAATCAGCGTTTTGGCGTTGACTACAGCGAAACTTTCAGCCCCGTCATCAAGCCTGCCACGGTCCGAATCATCCTTAGACTCGCGTTGTCTCGTGGGTGGCCCATCCATCAGCTAGATGTCAAAAATGCCTTCCTCCATGGACAGCTTCAGGAAACCGTGTATGCCAGCCAGCCCTCAGGATTTCAGGATGCAAATCGCCCTCATCATGTCTGCCGGCTCAAGAAGGCTCTGTATGGTTTGAAACAGGCACCCCGGTCATGGTATCACAGATTCACAGGTTTCATTCAGACTATTGGATTTCGTAGCTGCAAATCTGACACATCTCTTTTCATCTTCACGCATGCCTCGGGGACCGCCTACCTCCTCTTATATGTTGATGATATCGTCCTCACTGCTTCCTCGCCAGGACTTCTTCAGAGTCTCATTCAGAAACTCAAGGCTGAGTTTGCCATAACAGACATGGGTGATCTGCACTTTTTCCTCGGCATTAATGTTCATCGCACTGCTCAGGGCCTCTTCCTTCATCAGACACAGTTCACTCACGACATCCTTGAGAGGGCAGGGATGGTCTCCTGCCGCCCCATATCCACTCCAGTCGACACAAAGGCAAAGCTTTTTTCCTCCTTCGGCACGGCACTTCCAGATCCTTCTATTTACAGGTCCATAGTTGGTGCTCTACAGTATCTCACATTCACCTGACCTGATATCACTTATGCCGTTCAGCAGCTCTGCCTCCACCTTCATGCGCCCCGCGACTCTCACCTCACGGCCATGAAGCAAGTTCTCCGTTATCTTAGCGGCACCGCCACTCAAGGCATCTACCTGACTCGCTTCTCGACAGACTATCTCCAGGCTTATTCTGATGCTGATTGGGCTGGCTGTCCCGGCACCAGACGTTCTACTTCCGGGTACAGTATTTTTCTGGGCGACAACCTGATTTCATGGTCTTCAAAACGCCATGCTACCACTTCCCGCTCCAGTGCAGAGGCAGAATATCGGGCTGTGGCAAATGCAGTTGCTGAGACATCTTGGGTCCGAAATCTTCTTCTTGAGCTCCAGCAACCACTACGACGCGCCACCCTCGTTATCTGCGACAACGTCAGTACCGTCTATCTCTCATCGAACCCGGTTCAGCACCAGCGCACCAAGCACGTTGAAATCGACATACACTTTGTGCGAGACAAAGTAGCACTCGGCCACATCCGAGTCCTTCACGTGTCCTCTTCTTCACAGTATGCTGACATCTTCACCAAAGGACTACCTTCACTACTCTTCCTCGAGTTTAAGTCCAGTCTGGGTATCAGACCTCCTCCTCATCCGACGTAGCCGGGAGCATGTTAAATATACATTCTATATTTAATGTAAATATATTGTTTTCTATTATTATCTCCTCCCTTGTATAGAATTAGAAATCCTTGTGTATATATATAGACATGTACTCCCACATATTCAATCAATGAAATTAACCTTTATACAGTATTAAAAATTTGATTTAGGTTTTAGTATATAAACTTAATTTTAAAATTTGTAGCATTCATTTTATAAATTGAATTGAAAAAAGAAATATAGTCAAACATTTTTATCCTTATGAATTCACTAAATTTAGAACGGTTGGAGCAATTTAGTTTGACTATTTCAAAATAAGTTATCAAATTCAATATGGGATTGTTGATGAAGTGACAAGTTAATCTTTTTGGGAGGGCCAACTTTTTCAGAAGTATTCTTGTCTTCTTTTAACTACCTCCGGTCCCCCTGTATTTGTCCACTTTCATTTTTACACACCATCCAATGTACTTCTTTAATCCATTTTATCTTGTAATTTGTATTTTAAAAAATTATAAAAATTATATATTAATTATCTATATGTTAAGACAAATCAAACAAGATCACACATGACTATACTTAGGCTTACACATTGAGAGAATTTGATGAGTCAAAGTGCTTAGATGAAGAATTCCAAAAGTCAAATGTGGACAAATAGAGGGGGACGGAGGGAGTATGTGTTCCAACTTTTTTTTACTTTGACTTCAAATATTACGAAAAACATTTAAAAAGAATAGAATAATAACAAGTGAATGCAGAACTTGCTTTAAAAATAAATAAATATCCCCTCCGTCCATTTTAACCCTTACTAGTTTGATTTTTATGGCCATCGTTTTCAAACTTTGAATGCAAATTACAAAAAATATACATCGAATTGTGTTACAATTTTAATATCAATAAGTTCATTTTGATGCATCATTTTGAAATACTATATTTTTTACAATATATATCTAGTACAAATAAAGATATTATCAATCAAAATATTATATTGAATACCGTGAAAAACCAAATGAAAAGAATCAAAGTGGAATGAGGGAGTAAAAAAGACTTAGAATGGAAACACATTTGAACACACAACCAAGAGGAGTGTCAAACAACTGCAAAGGAACAGACTTCACACATTCTTTATGGAGTCCCTCAAGGCATAACATGTTGTTATTGAAAGTTATTTTAAAAGTCTCTCAGAGAATAAAAGCTAAAAAAATCAATGATAGGACATTAAATATTAAGATTTGGAGTTCCATTCTAAAATGCACAACTCCTAAGGATAATAATACAAATGATTTATATTTAGCCAATATGAAATGACTATAACATATTTATATATATGAGAATTGGATGAATTCAATTTATTCTAAGGTTGTCTTCTAAAAGTGGTGAAACAACCATTATTGCAATTGCTGCTGCTCTCTTCATGATCATCTGCTCTATTATCATCACATGAAACCTCTGTCACACCGCTCGAGTCCGACGATGACAAAGTAGAAACAACCTCCGTATCCGAACCACCCTTTCCTCTCGTCAAGAAATCGTAGAAAACCGGTTCGACCCTCGTCTTCCTCAAACATGCCACGCCTTCGCTAATGTTATGCTTCCTAACGTTGCCTTCTTCGCTGATTTTGGAGCCTCTTTTCTTCAAGAATACGCGGACCAGTACCCAATTCTCCTGAAAAGAATCGAACCCAGTGTTTTTTTAAGTCAGTTCAACTCAAGAGCTGATTATAAAATTTTTAGAATAAATTTCATAAATAATCTCTTATAACATGTGATTTTTCATATTTATTCCCTAATGGAATTTACTCGGTTTTTTAAAAAGCAAAGATTGGGATTTCAATTAACCTGTGGCAAGAAGTTCTTGGGTGTGGTTTCTGCAGCATTAGTGCAGAGGCTATACTCGTGCATTACCCAATCGGTTCGGGTCCCGCGGGGCGGTTTCCCGTGGTAGAAAACCAGGGTCTTCTTCGTCCCGACCGCCGCCTTCGTGCTGCCGCTCACAATTTGCTTGTCCAGTCCGGTGGCCTTCCAGTAGCCGGAGCCGGTGGCCCTGTTTGTTCTCCTCCCATTTGCATACTTCACCTCTCTTGTGCTAAAGAAATACCTTTCCTTCTCTAAATCACCTGTTCACATAAATTTTCTTCTAGGGTCAAAACTTAAGCTTATCTGGCAACAATAAGTTTGAGCTTTTGGTTGAATTAGTTGTTTTAACGGAAGCTGACTGACCTGGCAAGTCCCAGGGATCGAATTTGCATAAATCGATCTCGGGAATGATGGAGGCGGGCAGAGGGCGCCGTAGGACCTTGCATTTAAGGTACTGTCCTACGAGCTCCTCGTCCGTGGGGTGGAACCGGAACCCGGGAGGCAAGCGAATCACAACTCCATTCTTCACAATATTCAGCTTCTCCATCCAACTCAATGAGAAAAGGAAGAGCAAGAGGGAGAAAGATTGAATAGAATGAAAGGAAGAAAGGGGAAGGAAAGGAGGGGGGGAGAATAATGGGAAAAGATGGGGTAGAGAGTAGGGAGTGTGGGGGTGGGTTCTTATAGTGTTGAGGGGGGGAAAAAGAAAAGGGATTTGCGTGAAAAGGACTCAACCATTTTCCCCACTTTTCATCTTTTAGGCAAAGAGGATGCTCTCATATGGGGGGGCTCTTTACAAAACCGGTCACACCTTTACCATTGACTTACGGAAAGAAATACTATTAAATTAGGACTAAAATATTGTGTTTTAATATTCCCCCCCCCCTGAATTTAATCTTCCTCATTTAACTTGTTATGGTCTCTAATGTAGTATATTGATCATTAATATTAATATTTATGTATATAAAAATTAACATTTCAAGACTTTATTTTATTATAAAACTTAATATTTTAAGACTTTATTTTATTATAAAACTATAGACATTACATTTTTATCAAAACACAATGTATTTTGTTGGTGTATAAAGGTCAAACTTAGATCAGGAAAAGTGAAATGTGAATATTAAATCTGGACGGAAAGATTATAAGTATCTATCCAATTCAAATTAAATTATTAAATTAAATTAAATTTAATCAGCAATTACGTTAAACTTGTGTTGCATATTAATTCATTGATATATATCCGAGAAAGTTTCTACAAGATAGATTTAATGAAATTATTTTTGTACTAATATACCTATAGGGTGTATATAGGCTTTATATCTAATTTATGTTTAATCGGTATCTATTTTGACCCACAAAAATCAAACTGAATAAATATTCTAAAATAGGTGTAATATAATACGGCGCATTAAAAAAATACTGTAAAATCTCAATATATAATGTCAGAGTCTCAACGCTCCGCTTTGAGGAACAAGAACATAAGAGGTTCGATTTCAGCAGAAATTTACGGTTTATAATCATATTCTGCTCGATTTCTTTCAACTTACAGTGTCATTGTCAGAAATCAAATTCAGATTTGTTCATTTTGGCACTCCTTATAAGTTGTCTCGCAAAACATAATTGTCGGGAATCGAATTCTGATGAAGTCCCCATAAAATCTAGGATGAGTTGGAGAAAAATTGAAAACTTGTTTCCCTACTTGAAAACGTTTGAACTTTTACAAAGAGGAATCTTATACGAAAACGAAAACACCCCCAAGGGAAGAGCAATATATCCTTTTCTTTTTTCTTTTTTTTTCCATCTTCTTCTCATATTATTATTATTATTATAATTATTAATTTATAATAATAATTAAGCTAATTTATTCCATGGGATTTCCTTGTGCAACCACGCCACCTCCAAATTGCAGAGGAGCTTGGGAGGGATTCCTCCGATTTCATGTTTGGTTGAAACAAGAATAGGGATCCTATGCTATTCGCTCCCGTTTTCAGATTTAGCCATTCATTTTCCTTGCTCAAAGAATCCACTTTTTATTGACGTGGGAATTTTAATGGGACGGAGGATAATTTGAAGAATGCCGGAATGTGATATCTTAGCCCAATTCTATTTTATTAGCCCAAATTACAATTTCGGAGCATTCGCCTTGGCCTTCCCATTCATCTTCTTTACCACATTCCTCTGATTGGACAGCTCTAACTCTTGGCATGAGTGGTGTGCAAAGTGGACAACTGCATAGTTTCCTAAAATTTTAGGGCCTCATATTTTTAAATTCCTCATTATTTTTAAGCATAAGTATTCTTAAAAAATAAAATAAGACCCAAAATGTAAATTTTGGACCATGCCAATTTTATTTTTCATATCTCGGGACCGGCCTTGATTATTGGGTTCCTCCTTGAGAGTGTTGAAGTCGTCTCCTGACGTGCTCAAGTCAATGGATTGTCCGCCTCGCTCGTTGAGTATGANCCCCCCCCCCCCCCCACCAAACTCTGAATTTAGAACTCTTCTTTAGAAATTTCCATGCATCCAAAAACTTGTTTTTTTCTACTTGAAAATAAAGCTCTTTTGGCTACGAGAGAATGTTGCCGGCGTTAGACCCACTGGGCCACATCTTCTGGACGGGGCATACTGGGTACTGAATTTTTGGACTTCTAGGTGCACACGCCTCTAGTGCTTTTGAAGCATCTCCCTGTCACGTTTAGGCGTACCTTTGGGCCTCTAGGGGTTGTACTTGCCCGCAACACGCTCTTAGAACATTTTGTGTTTCTGGCAATTCCTGACGATGGTGTCCTTTGACGCGTCAATGTAGATCTTCACCAATTCCAGACTTTCCGTCGGGGAACACTTCTTCAACCTCCTATTCTGTTTTGGCCTTCCCTTTGTTTTGGCCTTGAGTGGGCTCCAACTCAAAATTGTCATAATCGTTTGTATTAGCGGCCAACAATTGGTATGGCTATCATTAGATCCCAAGAACGGGGCAAAATCTTTACTCATATGCGCATCCTACACATTAGTGTGAAAACTAGCAAAGTTTGCATATTTGAGCGCCGCATTCGTGTCGGGTTACTCGAAGGGGAACTTATCGCCGCCAGATTCATTTTTTATAAAGAGAGATGGGAGTGAATTGGGTGAGCGCCGCACCTGCCTTTCATCCCCGACCCAAGCCGCGCCCCAATAGCCCGCACTATGATGCCGAACATAAAAGAGCTCCTTGCAATAGCTGGCCGCCGCACGCCCTGCCCCTCTTAGCACCATGACGACATCTCTGCCTACTCCCTTCGTCCCTGAGTGTTTGTCCACTTTCATTTTTGCACACCATCCAATGCAATTCTTTAATCCATTTTATCTTGTAATTTATATATTAAAAAATTATAAAAATTATATATTAATAATCTATATGTTAAGATGAATCAAACAAGATAACACATGACTATTTTTAGGCTTACACATTGAGAGAATTTGATGAGTCAAAGTGCTTAGGTAAACAGTTCCAAAAGTCAAAAGTGGACAAAAGCTCAGGGACGGACCAAGTAAATGGTAAGTGATAAGTGGGGAGGGTACTAAATAGAATTTGGTACCAACACATGCCTCTATGGCAATATAGTATAGAGGGTAATAACATTATCCCTCTTTCGGTACCAAACAAAATCGGCAGGTAAGTTTATAGAGTAAATTACTTAAATAGGGCCAAAACATAGCATTTTTCCCTATATAGGACTAGTTTTAGTGATACTAACGTTTGAAGGGGGAATTGTCCGATTTAACCTTGTGTTACAGCAACTGCAATCTGCGAATCCATGATCCATTTTATTTCATTAAATTAAAAAAAATCAGTGCTTTATATCAAACCCCTATTTACACGCATCACTAACAGTTACCATGTAGAACCAGAAAACTTCTTGGGTTTTGCAATTCCATTATTCCACGATTCCATCTTTTTACCATAGTGGCGGAACACAGAGAAGTCAATGCGGCAAGCAAATTCGAAGACAACGGTGGCAACAACTTCATTGAAAACCTGTTGTAAATTCAGGGTGTAGAAAAACATGTTTGGTGAAGCTTAATTCAGGGTGTGTAAGTACCTTAATGTATTATTTTATTCAATTGTTCAGAGGGAGAGAAGAGAAGCCATGGTGAATTGTTTTGTAGAATTCGAGCATGCATCCAACGTGTTTGTGAATTTGCCTATGAAAAAGTTGATGGATTTATTGTATAGGGATTTTCTATAGACATTAAAACATCTAATTTGAGGATTTTCATCATTTCACTATAAATTTTTTGAAAAATGCTAGGGGTACACGTACACCAAAGATGTACCTCATTTGTCCCCCACCCCCTCCATTCCCACAAAAATGGGCAAAAATTTTAAAAAAAATTAAATAAATAAAATGTAGATAAAAATGAGTGGTGGAGAAAGGGGTGGGGGACAAATGGGGTACACTTTTGGTGTACCCCTAGCATTGTTTCAAAATCATTATGTAACATGCATGGTGGGAAGTCCTTGATTGTTTCACTGCACATTGTTAAATTCATCCATGGTGTTAAAACCAATAAAAGGGGAAATAAATGTTAAAAGATAGTCATTAAGACATTAAAAGAAACATGAATTTATTGTGTAGGCTTTAAAACATAGTAAAAGGCACCCAAATTGCCTAATTTCGATCATCTTGTGTATGAACAATTGTGGAAAGACATTGAAATATCACTGCTTAAATTAAGGACATTATGCTGTAAAAGAACACAATGAAAACTTTTTGGAGTAAATAATCTGAAAATACATTGCGTATAAAGAGATTGGTTGTCATATATAGTACATTAATATGCTAAAAGTATAACCATTGGGAACTAAAGAAAGTAAGGTTAAGGTCATTATGTATCTAGACAGTGTGTTACGTTAAAATATCTAGACAGTATGTTACGTTAAAATATTTTCAGAATGTCCTACATAATGACCTATTGAGTGTAAATTTACTAAAATAAATGTACTAACTATTTCCCTAAGAGATACCCCGTACGAAAGAATACATACTCCGTAATAAACAAATTCGCAAAGCAATTTTAAATACATTGTGGTGTGAGGACATTGAACTACAACTACAAGGACATTATGTTGTGGGCTAAGGAAATCAAACTAAAGAGACAAATGCAATATCATTAATGGTGTGAGGACATTGAACTACAACTACAAGGACATTATTTTGCTAAAGAGACAATGAAATTAGTTTGTTGTTAAGGACAATATGGAAATTTGGGAGACAAATAGATCAATTGACTTCAAACAAATGCAAAATCATTAATGGAATTATCCTCTATTACCACGTGTATTAAGAAGAATTATGTACTTCATTCCAAAAAAAATCATGTTTACTACTCCCTTGTCCCAAAAAGAGTTGTCCTAGTTTGACCAAACCGGAAGTTTAAAAAAGAGTGAATTGCATGTGTAGTTTAAAATAGTGAAATTTGCATTGAGTAAGACTAAATCTTAAGTCATTTTCTAATGTAGTACTTAAACTTTTTTATTCTCTAAATAGGACTTAATAATGACTAGTGAGAAAAATAATGTCCAAGTGATGTTGGACATTTAGTTGAATAATGACTAATAGATAATGACCAATGGTCCTACATTGGAAAATAAAAATATATGGTCTTATATTGAGAAAGTCATTATGTTTTAGTCATTATGTTTTAGTTCTATTATTTTTTTACTTCATTATTATTTTAAATTACGATTAGGATTTTTAAAATTACGATGAAAAAATACACTCTCGTTGTCTAGAGATTATCTTCTCGTTACGTATTATAGTGTTTGACTAAAATTACTTTCAGTTCAATTTTTTCTAAAATTTGGTGTAGATTTTAAAAATAAAATTATATACTTAAAAATAATATCAAACATTCTACAAAAATTAGGCAAAACATGTTTTACAAACAAGAAGTGACATTATTATATTGTTTTACAAATGTGTAATAAAAATTAGTAAAGAAAGTGAATATATATTTTTATTATAAATTGATTGTAAGAATGAAGAAAGAGTTTTGTTATTGTGGTCCCAATGTCCAAATATGAAATATAAACATTTTTATATATTTTTATGAATTCATTTTGAATTTTTTTACAATCATCAATATATATTTATTTTATATGTTAAGGTTCATAAAGTAAATATGAATCTAAGAATCGCACAATTTTAAATATGTTGAGAAGTAAGAACAAAAAAATGTAGAAGACAGATGAAAAAAATGGTAGCATTAAATATGTGATGGGTGGTGATAAATAGAGACGTAGAGTAATAAATTTATTTCCTAAACTATAGGCGTAAATAATGGCTAACATAATTAAGTAAAATATTTATAAATAAAAAATAGCAAAGAGGCGTTGGTTTTATCCACACAAGTGGACGTATAAGTTAGGGGTAGGAAAGGGATTTCTTTAAAAAATAGTCTTAGAAGGGGAAAAAAACATCATTAGTCTTATATAGGGAAAACTAATATGTTTTAGTCTTATACTCAACAATTTTTACAAGTTTATAAGGGACCTATATATCAAACACAACATATATTTATTTTACACTAATTTTGAACCTCACTCGATCCATTAAAAGTCTAGTTTTTACACTCCTAAAAAAATGAAATGCTTATATTTTGTTTTGGTTAATTGTTTTTGTTAAATAATTCCAACTATACAATACTTTTATTTTGGTTTCTACTCCTTAATTTTAAAATAATTTTTAGATTTGTGTGTTAATTATTTAAAACTAATTTATATTATTAGTTTGAAGTTAATTATTAAAAAAAAAATGCTTGTAGTAAATTGGCGAATCAACGTATGCCCACCTTGCTTATAGTAAGAAAAGTATGAAGTTAGTGGAATATGATGTGATATTGATGTGCAAAAGAGAGATAATACACTTATAACAGAAAATTGTAGTTGGTACCCTCAGTTTTTTTATAAGAACTCACAAGTCCCATCTTTTTAAAAAATATACTTCGGGGTACCTTTAATTATCCGAAAACTAACTTCGGGGGGACATTCCGTCCATTCCTCCGTCAAATTCATTTTCTCCGTTATATTTTCATCATTTTCTTTCCAAATATTGCTGTTAGGTCCCCCAATTTTGTAAAAGTAACTTTTAGGTCCCATCATTTTTAAAAATATACTCCGAGGTACCCTAAAATATCCAAAAAGTTACTATGGGAGATTTTCCTTTTTCCATTTATTTTATATATATATATATATATATATATATATATATATATACTCCCTCCGTCCCAAAAAGAGTTTCCTATTTTGATTAACGTGCAAAATCCCGTGAATTTTAAAATGATTTTATTTGAAAATCGGTAAAGAAATAACACATGAAAAAATTATATTTAAAAACTACATCGAAAACTCTACAAAATAAGAGGTGACAAGAATATTTTATTTTATCAAATGATCAATGAAAACACACAAACAAACAAGAGTTATCGAGAGACCGTAATAGTAAACAGGAAAGACTTTTTGGGACGGATGGAGTATATTATTCTAGTGCTTGTAGCGAAAATCCAACGCAACTCAATAGGCAAAGCGGCAGCGAGTGACAGCCGCGGAAGATACTGATGAAGTGACTAATAATAATAATAATAATAATAATAATCTGTAATAATAGTAATACTAGTAATAGTAGTAATAATAATAATAATAACAATCACAATAATAATAATAATATAATAATAATAATAATAGTAATAGTCACACAATAATAATAATAATAATAATAATAACAACAACAACAACAACAACAATAATAATAAAGGAAAATTCTTCCAAAGCAAGTTTTTGGATATTTTAGGGTACCCGGAGTATATTTTTAAAAATGATGGGACCTGAAAATTATTTCTACAAAATTGAGGGTACCTGACAACAATTTTAGGGAAGAAGTTGATGAAAAGTTAACGGAGAAAATGAATTTGATGAATGGATGGATGGAATGTCCCCCCGGAGTTAATTTTCAGATAATTAAAGGTACCCGGAGTATATTTCTTAAAAAGATGCGACCTGTGAATTCTTATCACAAAATCGAGGGTACCAGGCAACAATTTTCTACACTTATAAAGGTATAAAAGGTATTTATACTTGTCTTTTTTTTCTTGAAGTGCCCTTGGCCCCTTATACAATAAATTATTGTTGATAAAAAAGTTTTGTTTCTTCACTATTTAATTATTCAATTTTTACTTATTTTATGTGTTTAAAAAATTTCTCTCCCTATCAGAAAAAAAATTTCCTATACTTTTTCATCTGTCTTAAATAGTTTTTCATATTTTTCAATCTCATTATGAAAATACAGACGGTGTTTCAAATTAATTTGATCTATTTGACTTCACATATATTAAGAAAGTGTTGTGAAAGCAAATGGAAAACAATCGTTTAAAAGAAAAAGAAATATTTTCGACCATATTTTCTCTCCTAAAAATAAAGAAAAAATGTAAAAATTGTTTTGAGATGGATAAGAAAAAAGTATAAAATAAATCTGTTTTGAACACATTCTAACGATTAACATTTCACTAGTTAACGTTTTTTTAACAAGCAAAGTGTGCATAATTAGAATTTATTTAGATGTGAGAATTATTTTAAAGATTTCCCTATCTCACAAAAAAAATTGCTTCTCTTTTTTCTCTCCTCCAAAATCTATTGTTACATTTTCTTTCACAAAAAAATGTATGCCCTTGAGTTGAGCCTTTACTGAAATAATCTATGAGCTTCTGAATATGAACAAAGTCTGTATCCTACTTTTTTTGGGATTTTACCACATGTGATGTTGTTTCTTTTTAAAATAGAACATGCGACTTAATTTCTTTCTTTTAGTTAAATTCTTTACCACTCACTTTGTTATTCAACATCTTTTCACTATTTTCTTAATCTTCATGAAATCAATGCAAATCAACTTTAAAAAATTGACAAAGCTATTTAGGATAAATTAAAAAGAAATGGAAAAATATTTATGATACAAAGAATTTTTTTAATGCAATAAATTAGGAAAAATCTCATACTACCCCGTTCCAGAGTATTCATCCAGTTTGACTTTTTCGAGTCAAGCTGGACGAACTTTGGACCTCAATTAAATAAAATGGTAATGTATTTTAGTATAAAATTTATTTCATTTGATTTATCTTGTTTAAGACTTTTAAACTTTTAATTTATTGTATTAAGATGCAATATAAATTAAGAGTCATCAATGATTAAAGTTCGTCCAGTTTGACTCGAAAAAGTCAAACTGGATGAATACACCGGGGTGGAGGGAGTATTTCATAAGAAAAATAATTAAACTAAGAAAAATACAATGAAATTATCAAAGTTTGAGCTCTATATTTTTATCTTGAAAATAGGACTTACGTTATCAATATATAATACCAAAAAGTATTATGAAATATCAATATACTGAAATCTCAAATAGATTTACCACCTGCTCAACAGTAACTGAACCACACAAAAAGAACCAAAAGATGCAAAAGTCTGGTTTTCAAATATAGATGACACAACTTATGCTAAATCGATATCAGCAACACACACGCATACACACACAAAGAACATTACGACACAGAGAGAATTTGTTTACGCAGTTCGGATATAAATCCCCTACATGTGCGAGGCCCACGTCCGTGTAACAGCCCTCCACTATATCATCACTATATCATCGTAAAACTTACACAAATCAAACACACAAGAGTCTTCTAATGTATTGACTAAGTAACTTTCGAATGACCTTTGACACCAAACTCGATTTGTGTCTTTCTCCTTGGCGTGCTACACCTTCTCTTAGTTCTACTTCAAGGACGTGTCTTTAGCCTTTATCCAAGACAACAAAGTATTCAACACCTAGACGAATATGCTAATCAGCACAACTTCAATTGTGTGCGGATACAATGCAAGAGACATACCCCTTAATCTAAAAAACAAGGTTTTTTAGATTCTTAACACTGTGATCAGATTGTTGCGTGATCATTCATATGTTGTAAACTCTCAGATACATGTGTCTCTACTTGAACACCACCTGCACCAGGTTGTAGAGCCCAGCATATATAGATCATGACTAACCCTAGTAGAGTTAATCTAGGAGTTAGACTATCAGCGACATTCCAATTTCTTCAGGCCGAGGTTTTTGCTTCAATATCTTCTCCTCCAGAATTCTGAGTCAGCACCAAGTCTTTTAAGAGACGTGTAAAGCAAAAATCGGGGCACGAGGACTTTTTCTCATAGTAAATGACTTCAACACAGGTGGCATGTAAATAAAGGATAGAGATGACTAACAGAGTACTATAGCATAACAATGAACAGTGACTACATAACCATCAAGATCTATTCAGTTTGTCAAAAAATGATGTCCATATGAGGTGGGTACAACCACAATGTAAGGACATCATACGATAAACTAACATATATAATGTCAAATTACTACAATGCAGCATTATTCTTTTGGAGATAAAAAATATATAAGTCTTATTTTGAGCATGTGATCTGAATAACTAAATTTTGTTACTAGCAAGATGGATTTTTTGATTTCATAAGATCAACATTCAACGCTAATGACACCATTAGCTTGTGTCGTCTAAGCTCTCAAGAACCCAGCATTATTTTAACAAATATCTCATTCCCTTTTTTAATTTGTTAGTCTTCTAAAAAAATTCACTTTCTTTTTCTTTTGATCACTTACAATTAAACAACATATTATTTCTTTATACCTTTCGAATCACTTGCAATAATTAATAATTTTACTTTTTTTAATTTTCGTCAAACATGAAATATATTCACGTGACGATGGAGTACAAAGTACTTCCTTCGTCCCAATTTATATTGCATGTTTCGATTTATGATGTTTCAAATCATTTTATATGAAAATTGGTGTGGAATTAAAAAATCAAAATTATATGTTAAAATTCGATATCAAAATATCTAAAAATTATTTTATCAAATGACTAATGAAAATAGAGAAATAAAGCGAATGAACTTTGACGCGGTGAATAATAAATAGTGAAAATTGTACTGAATAGAACTAAAAGATAAGTCATTTCTCAATGTAGGACTTAAACTTTTTTATTTCCTAAATAAGACTTAATAATGACTAGTGAGAAGAATAAAGCTCAAGTGATGCTGGACATTTAGTTGAATAATAACTAATAGATAATGATCAATGGTCCTACATTGAGAAATAAAAACATATGGTCCTATATTTAGAAATTCATTATATTTTAGTCTTATTTAAGTAAATTACTCTAATAAATATGTACTCCCTCCTTCCCCTATGGCCCTATATGATTACAGATTGCGAGTTACGAGGTAAAATATCTCGTTTTTTGAAATCATTTTATTTACAAATTGGTACATCAATAAGAAATAAAAATTATATATTAAAAGACTAAGACAAAAGTTTTACAAAATAAAAGGTGACAAAAATATTTTATTTTATCAAATACCCAATGAAAACACACAAATAAACAAAAGTTATCGAGAGGAGAGAAAAAAGGAGAAAGACCAAAGTAGGACTAAAATATTGAAAATATACCAAAATAGGATTTCCAAGTTTTTATTCCCGAAATAAGGCCTACATTACCAAACATAGTCATGTACATTACTGAAAAAGTATAGTAATGTACACATGTGCAGTGTCACATTACCACAGTGCAAAGTCTTATTTCGGGGGGAAACATGAAAGTCTTATTTTAGTACTTTCCTCTATGTTTTAGTCCTATTTTAGGTAAATTTTTTAAAAAACTGCAATCTAATTTTGACGGAGAGAGTAATTTAATTTGGGAGGGAGAGAGTAATACCACTAATAATACGTAAGCATATGTACGTTCATTAAAGAAAAGAATATTAATTTTAAAATAGTTATTTATGAATAAGAGGTGTAGCTATTTCGATAGTCAACTTCCCATATAAAATTTGGTAGACAAAAAGTTGCCATAAGGAAACGCAAGTTTGGTGATAATTAACAAGTAAAGCCCGCCTGTCTTTGTTAAAAGGGTGGGTGGAGCCGTGGAGGAATAAAGTTTTGGGTCCAACTTGCTTCCCAAACGCCGAGCATCTCACATCCAATAAGTAACCACACCTCAAATTTAAAGCGATAAGACCTCACTTATATTCGTAAATAGATTAAATTGTATCGTTAAGTCCTTAAATTTCTTGCATCATCATATTTAATATATGTCTATTTTATAAAAATTAATAAAATTTCTTGCTTTTACTTTTATTAGTCTATTTTTTGCTTTTACTTTTATATGTCCTTAAATTTATATGTCCTTAAATTTCTTGCTTTTACTTTTATTAGTCTATTTTTTAATAGAGTAATTCTATAAAAAGTCCGCAGTTATAGGTCGTTTTACATATGGTCATTTGTTAACATTTTCGTTAAGAACATAGATAAAATTGTAAATTCACACTCCTTTCTCTCCTCAATTAAGCTCCCTCCCTCCCCTCGCACTCCTTTCCCAAACTCGTCGCTGAGTTTGAAGCTTTGAACTCAAAACCGAAATCATCACTCTTCTCTCAATTGTTTATCTAACTAGTGGAACCCAAATTCAAAACCAGTAACCTTCATGGATGAGTTTTATCGGGGGGATTAGGGGGGTAGGAACTGTCAATTTTACGAACGAGGCACCGGAGCGCCCTTGGGTCATCTCATGACATTGCCAGGAAATGTCATGGGAACCTTATCGTTTTTTAAATACTCACTCTTTCTTTAAAGTATTTATCAAACTTTAACTTTCTATAGTCAATTAGATTTAATTTTTTAAGAAATCACCCCAAATAGATGTAAAAAAATAAAACTTATGTTCAAAATAGGAGTTTCATATTATAGTACTGCATCGTACTGCATCGTGACATTATAGTACTGCATCGTGACATCCTACTATTTTTTTGGTACTATATATTGGCAAAATTGTAGTCCTATTTTAGAGATAAAAAACAGGAAGCTTTTGTTTTGATTTTTCTCCATATTTTACTCCTAGTTTAGTTCTTGTTTCATATAATTTTTTACCTATAATTTCAATTAAAACAAATCTACATTAAGTCATTAACTATTTTTTAATTGTTTGAAAAAGAGTGGGTTCATTCCTCACAAGTACTTATAATGAAAAAAGAAAAAAATGCACGGACCAGCAACAACATTAATGGAGGGACCAACAATGCAACACTGACGTGACTTGAAGGACTATTCATGAATTTTTAAAAATTGAAAGACTATCTTTACATGACGCAATAACTTGAATGTTCAACGGTGCAATTTAACCTTTGCAAATATTCATAGTTTAGGGATGGTCCTATAAGTTTTAATTTGGATGTGTGATGATAAAATTTGGGATGAGAATGGATAACTGGATTGGGTAATAAGACACTTGGGCTGAATCACATTAAAAGATTGAATCCAATCGATTAGTTAGTTCAACTCAAGAGCTTATGTACCGATTATTTTGCTCTTGAATTTCCAATGTGGGATGACACTCTAACACTCCCCCTCAAATGGACAACGGGCCATTTTGAATCTAACCGGTTCACCACTTGCAAATAAACTCTCATTTCCTTGAATTTTTTTTTAGCGCCAACACCTAAAGGACCACGAGCCGCTGGGTATGGACTTCTAGACGAGCAATCGTATTAAACGGGCCACATGCCGTTGGATACATACTCCACACGGAGAACTGGGCTAAAGACAAACGGGCCGCTAGGAATGAACGTCTAGACGGACACCTTGACAAACGATGTGGGCCAAACCCAAGCTCTGATACCATGATAAAATTTGGGATGAGAATGGACAACTGAATTGGGCAATAAGACATTTGGGCTGAACCACATTAAAAGATTAAATCCAATCGATTAGTTAGTTCAACTCAAGAGCTTATATACCGAATATTTTGCTCTGGAATTTCCGATGTGGGATGACACTCTAACATGTGACATGATATAACTTTTGAAAATGGGGACAAATGGTTTAAGTTCAGGAAAAAAATTGTATTGAAAGTTTTAATATTATGATATTATTAGTCTAGGGTGGCCAGCTAGGGGTAGATATCAAATTTGATATATCTTTAGACTTCACCAAACATTTAAAAAGGTTCTAATATCTGAAGATATCAAAACTCATATCTATTTTACTCACCTAACACGGCCTCAACACTTTCACAAATTCATCTTTTCACATGAACACTTAAGAATTAATTAAATAATTATTTTTAGTGCTCTCAAAACGATTTTAAACGAGTCTTGATCTAGATAACTTAATTCGTGCATCGGCGCCCCAATCTTGAATCGGCAAACTTGGTGCGCGGGCGCCAGGCGGGGCAGTGCCTTACTAGTGTTTTTTATGTCGCACTCTATAAATTTTTAGGGCTCGCCATATTATTTCTTAAGGCGCGCTTTAACTTTTGATAAGTCTCGCACTTGCATTCATTAGTTTTTGCATTAGTATATTAATTATATTATTAAAGCATTAACTACAAAAGTTTTATTCTAGTTCTTTTTTCTCGCTTGAATTCTGATTTAAAATTATTTTCAACAATTAATTCAAATATTAGTGTAAAATTTAAAAATAAATTTATAAATTTATGCATCACATAGTATTATTGTAATACAAAGAAATAATTTTTGAAAGTTTTTTTGCAACAGAAATCTTACAAAATCATTCATATTGATTTGTACTTTGTAAAACAATTTTCATTTAATTATCCATCAACTTCGTCCGACTTAACTCGAAAAAATAAAATAGACGAATACTTTTACACCTTAGAAGTGCTCTATGCGTGTGTTGGGGTTATACTGGGCTAGTGCTGGCAATAGGTCGGGTTTGGGTCGGATAACACTATACTCGAACCTGACCCATATTTTAAAATTGAAACCCGTACCCGACCCAAAATCCGATTTTTTAAGCCAAAAATCCGACCCGAATCCGACATTTCAATCCGAAACCCGAACCCGTCCCGAACCCGACTTTGAACAAATAATCAATTCGACATACCCTTATAATTTTAAAAAGATTAAATCTAATTTTTTTGTGTCTCATTTTTTATTAAGGAGTTATAAAAATGATTATAAAAGGCATACTTGATATAGTAGCACTTTGTCAAGAGATTATATGGAGTGCTCATTATATCCATAGATAGGCTTTTATGTTATAATCCCTCCGTTCTAAAAAACACTTCCTCTTTCCTTTTTTCCACTTCCAACAAAACACTTTCACCTTCTATTAAAAAACCACTTTTACCCTTACTTTTTCATACCCTACTTATCACATCATATTTTTTTTCTAATAATCTATCCATCACATCAGGAGCAAAATTGGAAGTCAACTATAATTTTACACTTTCTTATTTTGGCTCCTGTCAAAGTAGGAACCTTTTTTGCAAACGGAGGGAGAAAATAATCGGGTTTGAATCGGGTCGGGTGCGGGTTTGGGTCGGGTTGAGTAGATTATAAACCCACACCCGACCCGACCCGATGTCAGGTTCGGGTAAAAAATTTCGGGTCAGGTTCAGATTATTTTATTCTCGGTTTGGGTTCAGATATTTTTGTGGTCGGTCGGGTCGGTTAAGCTCGGAGTCGGGTTGAATTGTCATCCTATATTGGGCCGGTGCTGGGTTCCATTGGACAGGATCCAAGAAAATTTGGGGCCCAACTTTTAAAGGGGTTTTATTGCGGAGTATTACAGATAGATTTGGGCGCAAAAAGTGATATCCAAATTGCTAAAGGCTTTGTTTGGTAACAGCGTTTTCAATTAGCGTTAGCGTTTTGGATAAAATTTTAACGGTGCAGATTAATTCTGAAAATGCTAACGCTAAAGGCTACCGTCAGATAGCTTTTTCAAAACGCTAACGCTAATCTCTGACGCTGATGCCAAACGGGGCCAAAAGCGCCAAAAAGAGTGCCTCCGGCCTCCCCACTCCAAGTATGGTTTACTTTTGATTTCTTCTTCTTTGAAATTTAATTTTTAATTTTTAATTTATACTCCTTCCATCCAACAATAAACACTTTTCATTTTGAAAAATGTATACTTATAAATTTTAAAATTACTTTATTTACAAATTGATATATCATAAAAAAATACAAATTACATTTTTAAAACTACTATCAAAAGTTCTACAAAACAAGATATGACAATAATATTTCATCTTATTAAATGATTGATGAAAATATACAAAAAAATATAAGTTATCGAGAGCCTGTAATAGTAACTCTGAAGTTCATCGTTCGACGGAAAGAGTAATTAGGATGGTGAATAAACTGCAATTTGATAAAAAAAATCAGTTTTGTTATATTTTTCCTCGTTTTTAATAAAAAATGGAAACAAACGGTTCATGGAATGATGGAAATTGTCAAATAAGAAATCATATGGTGAGGTGTGATCCATTACTACTTATTAAAGAAAATGAATTCTATAAATAATCAAAATTATAAGCGTACACAAAATAATTAAATTAATTTGCCTTAAAATTAATAAAGATAAGAACTATGGTGTAACCCTTAATCTACGGAGTAATTTTTTAGAAAAATGTTAGGGGTACACCACGTGGTGTATCCCAAGTTTACAAGTGTAAATAAAAGAATTAGAGAATGATAAATATATATTGAATGACCGGGATGGATAGTGTACAAATATCGTATATTTGGTATACCCCCAGCATGACTCAATTTTTTAAGCCCTGAACAAACACGATGATGTTTCCTCTAAAACTTCAATAAATAGGAAAACACTATCGTATTACTGTAAAACAAAATCTCAGATATGCAAATCTTTTTTTTTTTTTGAAGAAGAAGAACATTGTTCGTGGAGGTAGAGCACATCGCCACTTCGCAAGATCTTCGTAGAAAAAAAAAAGAATTCCACCCAATCAACATTTTTGTTCTTTTTGGTTAGCTATATTTTACCAAGCGTGTTATTAGTATCATTGTATCAATCCATTTTCATTTTTTAGCAAGCTTGTCAAAAATCGGTAAGCCCTTGGAGTTTAAAATTTCGTTTCACTTATCAATTCTAACATATAACAAGTCATTTTAGCATGGTTGGAGATGCTCCTATATATTACTACTAGTACATTCATTGTACATGCATACATACCATATTACCTTATACATACAAACTTTACAAGTTATTATTCAAATTAAATTCCAATAGGAATTCAACACTACTACTGCATCTGTCCAGGGAGCAGCCTGAACAACCAGCATATTTCTTCCTCAGAGCAGTGATCAATTTTCCGCGCGAAAATCGACCTCTCCGCGGGCCAACAATTTCCATTTTCATCCTTACCCGACCCTTTGGTTTCCGACACAACGTCAATAATCTCTTCGACCACATCAGCTATAACGCCCTCCACGCCCATCTTGCGTTGCATAGACACAACCTCGCCCACATTACTGCCACGTTTGTTCCGTTAAAATTGTAAATGAATCATTTCATTACTATAATCTCTAGGTCAGCAAGACCCTGATGCCATGTTAAAAAAAACGACTCAAGTGAAAGTAATTATATTACATGTGATGAGACCTACTTGAGCTGCCCATATGTTAGGAGGGAGAGTTTGGAGTCTTTGATTTTGGCAATTGCTCCAGGATCTCTCAGTATGGCTTTCACCTCAGAGACAATTCCTTGGAGGCCACCTTCCAAACACAGCTTTACCGCCTCTTCTAACGAGTTCCTTCTCGCGTCCGAGTGGATTTCGTTTCCTCCATTGCTTAGGAAGAAAACCTTCGGAGAGACGAGTCGAATAAAATTAACCCCTCAAAGAAATCGCGTTCCGTGTTCTTAAAAGCTTATATATATATATTGAACTTTAAAACGGACAAAGGAATGTCAAAGGGAGAAATGAAAGGTTTGATCAAAATACTTACAGGGTAGGTGTTTTGGAGCTTGGGGATTAAAAGGGCTCCATCTGGATGAAATGTTGAGAACATGATCTTCCTCTCTTTAGCATGATCAAATACAACCTGTTTTATATTAGTAGCCATTAATGAACCAGCTTCAACCAAAAGCTCAAGCTTGTGGTTAAAAACAGTGATCGAGGTTCAAATTGGTGACCTCTAAATCAGAAAGGCTCAGATACCATGTTAAAAAACCAACTCAGTCAAAAGCTATCAAAGTTTGTGATGGTAGGGCGAGGAAAGGTTTTATAACAAATGGACCGAAAACCAGACCTGCATGATAATTTGAATGGCCCTTACAAGTTCTTCCTCAGAGTAAACTCTATTGTTATCGAACTTCAGCTCAATGTTAAAGCCCAACGAGTCATTATTAATGCTCTCAAACACGTCTCTCAATGTACACAGACAATCGTCATCTTCAACCGCCCATTCAAGGATTCTCCCGCATTTTGTTTTTCTGCATATCGGCTTCCCAACCTGTTTCTAACAAACAAAAAAAATGTGTTTCTTATGAATGACCATACAAATGGCCATTTATTGTTGATTAAGTTTTCATTACGTTTCGCGCATTCCTTTGAGGACCGTACGAGAGAAACTCATCCAAACTGAGGTCTGTAACTCTGCTCTCAACAATTTCACCCTGGGAATGAAAACAAGAGATGTCCAATTTATATAAACAAACAAATATACAGATAGATGGTAAAGATTAGTATTATAGAAGTGGGCACTAAACTGACCTTTTCTTTGGTATAGAGGAAGACATCATGGAAAATTACAGGAAAACCATCCTTTGTCACCTACAAACACATTTTTCTTTTATAAAATTTATGTGTTCTTCGCCTAATGGTCGAAGATCCATGAGACAGAGACAAAGAAAGGACCATCAGTATGTGCCTTGATTGAAGTTTGATGTGCCCAAAAAAACAGCATTCATATAAACTTTTATGTAACAGAGATTGCCAGATCAATGTTTAAATGGGCCACACGCCACTAAATACGTAAATGAGCACTTCACTAACAGGCCGTTAGGAATGAATTTCTAGAAAGACACTTTGGACTAGATGACGTACGCCAAAACATTACTCTGATATTAAACATTATTTCTCAGATTAAACATTTTTAGTCTAAGATTAAACATTTTCTCTCAGATTATGCCCATTTTTTTCCGAATGGGCATAACGATTAGTTAGAGCAAATTAAAGGCATGTACATAAGCCGACCTGAACGTCGAATTCGACGAAATCGAGACGGGAAAGTCTCCCGGCGTGTCGGAAAGAGCATATCGTGTTCTCTCTCGTTGCTCTCATTCTCGGGTCCTCACATAACTCCAACAAATTCATCCCATGCCCTCTGTGACCCATCACCACAAACTTCCCTCCCTTCTTCTCCTTCTTCCCGTTCTCTTCTCCGCCTGTACAATATAATATTTATGTTTTTCATCACAATTATGTTTTTTAATTTTAAAAAAAAAATACGATTGATAAATAACGAGAAGAAAAAAAATCGAACCCGAAATGAGTGGAGGAGAGGATGATAAGAATGCCGGGGCATTGTTAATTTCTGGCACAACTTGATGATGATGATGATCAAGAACGGGCAGTTCTGGAACACGGGCAGCCTTCAAAGCCATTATGTGTATTCATATCATATATGTTCTTCTTTCAAGAAATTAATTAAAAGACCTGGAATTGAAATTATTAAAATCATCACCAACAAGCTAATAAGTCATATTTTAAATTACAATATATGTATATATAAACCTTAATGCACGAGTTCATAAAATGTTCTTCAATTGTTCTGGACATTTCTTCCCACTCATAAATGCTCTTAGCTGGCGCATGAAGGGAGGAGGAGGAAGAGAAGAAAAATGGCGCTGAGGTGCCCACTTTATTATTAGACGCACGTACAATTCCGTTATATTCTGAACAATTATTTAATTCAATCACATGTGCGTGTCTCGATTTTATGTACCCTACCCCCTCTCTTTCCTTTAGAGCATCTGAGCATTGCGCAATTGGCAAGATAAAGAGTGTTAATGGGGTAACACCCACGCCACGTTTGATTCCTGATAACTAAATTGGGAGATAATTATGCTAAGCATAAGACCTCTGCAAGTACCAGATGCAGACTCCACTCAGCGATCATCTGGTCGGGTCTGAGGGGGACTTCGGAGATAGGGCTCATCCTCTATGTGTTCCTCTCACTTTCTCCTCTATTTCTCATTTTTTATTGCCACATAACTTTTTTTACTTTTCCAATGTTACTTTAACACTATACTTGGTTCAAGAAATTAGGAAGGAAGAGAAAATAAAATGATTTTCTCTCATTTTCATTACCAAAATGGGTGGAATTTGGTTTTCCCTCCACTTGTTACATTTTGTCTTCTCATTTTCTTTTCATTCCACTTTTCCTTTCTTTTTCTCTCTATCCAAACAAGAAAAACTGTTTTCCACTTCATTTTCATCTTCCTTTCAAATTCCTTAACCAAACGTAGTGTAATAGTTTCTCCCATTTTCTCATCTTTTTAATGGTTGGCCCACAAATTATACATTTATTTAAAAAAAATTAAAGAAACAAATCATCTTGATATTTTATATTAAGTTTATTTTATCTACACAATATTTATCATACCAAATCAAAATAAGTAATGTAAATTTATGGAATATTTTTTAATTTAAAAAATATATGGAGTATTTTATTTGAGAGCATGGGACATGAGCAATCCCACAGGGCCCACCAAGATTTATTTTAGAGCCCCCGAGAAAATATATGATGTTGACCCAGGACATTTCCAGTGTATGCTTCTTCTAAACACTATAATTATTGTGTGATCTGGCAATGTATTATTAACGTATTTCATGTTCATCATCGTCCACATCTGGCCACTTTGCCTCCAGTGCAGGCAACTACACTTTGTTAAGTATCATGTCCTGCATCACTTCCCTGGTGACATTTAAAAAAAAAACAAAATATATCGTCTTTAGTGTTTTAACAGGTCGTCTGATCCGATCTGATTTTAGTAAGACTTGATATGATCCCGTCTAACAATGTCAAAGCACATAATTAAATTTGCTTTAAAATACTGTGAAATCAAGGTGGAACAATGTTTTCCGGGATGGAGGGATTATATATGGAAGCATTTTCATGAAGTTTTAAGATATTGTTACATTTCTGCAAAGTAAGAGCAACGTTATACACCCCGTTATCCGCTCTATAGTTTTGAAAATATTGGTTTTCTCTTCTCTTTTCGTGCTGAGATTGCCTCTTTCAGATCATCAGATAGAAGGACACCGGAGTTCCATGTTGCAACATAATCTAAAGCTTGCTCCATTGTCAAATCTCTACTCCTCAGCAACACAGCTTTTGTTCCGATCACAGCGAGGGGAGACTTTTCTGCTATTCCTGTAATGTTCGGTCAAAATGAATATTATGATCTCAGCACATTTGAACTTGTATAAATCTTACTGAAAGCTTTCAAGGGGATTTGATAGTTAGACCATTTCAAACTCAACTTCAGCAAAATTGGGCATGCAAGGACTCACGTGCAATCTCAACAACTACTTGTGCACCGTGTGGCATGAACATGAACACGGTACAAAGGTTCTTAAGATGAAGGGCACATAATGCCTTTAAGAAGGTTGACAAAGGAAAAAGAATATACGATGTCAGCAATACGAAGGAATATGTTTTCTGCGGAAAATTTCATCATTTTGAAAGTCTTGTTTATCTGTTCGATCAAAAAGCCCTGATATATAAAAAGCTCAAAGCTGCAAAATTGCAAGAATTCTGTTGGTGGGTAAGAGTTTATGTATATATAGCATGATCATAAGTCATTACAATGGACTGGCTATAACCCACACGTAGATATACAGAGATGTGATCCATTTAGCAAAGCATTACAGTAAGCAAAGACAGCAGGTTATGCAACATTATTAAGGGTCCATTTTGAACAATGTTTATGAATAGAGTTAGAATTTTGGATAATTTTTAAGGGTATATATTAACTTTAAAAACTCTAAAGCTAAACACTATCATCTGATTGCCTTTCCATAACACTAAATGTAAATGTTTAATGGAATAGAATGTTAGTAGTAATGCACATTTAGCTTAATTTCTTCTACTCTTTTTAGTGACGTGACTTGTGAATTACTCTTTTAGTACAGATCCCTATAATATATACACGTATTCTCTTGTATTTCTCCTTAGCTTGAACTTTTCTCCCGCTAGGGCTCTGTTCTTCAAGCTCCAGAGCCAGATTCATATTCTTGATTCAATCATGAACAAAATCAACATTGCTTGAGTCTAGGTATTTTCCTTCGATGGATTGGGTAATCTTTCATGGATTCCCAATAATGGCTGAAAACACTGAAAATTCTGCATCTTCTACCACTGATTCTGCAAATCCTTCGTATTTGCATCCTTCGTACCATCCTGGATTGATTCTTGTGTGCAAGCAATTCGAAGGAGAAGGTTTTGGATCCTGGCACAAATCAATGTCCATAGCCTTATCGGCTAAAAACAACCTTGGATTTGCTAAAGGGAACATTACGAGCCCTAGTGATTGAATCTTGTGAGCAAGCGACCAAAAGGAGAAGGTTTTGGATCCTGGCACAATTCAATGTCCATAGCCTTATCGGCTAAAAACAACCTTGGATTTGCTAAAGGGAACATTACGAGCCCTAGTGATTGAATCTTGTGAGCAAGCGACCAGAACGAGAAGGTTTTGGATCCTGGCAGAAATCAATGTCCATAGCCTTATCAGCTAAAAACAAGCTTGAATTTCCTAAAGGGAACATTACGAGACCAGGTGAAGACTCTCCACAGTTCAATGCTTGGCAGAGGTGCAATGATATGGTCACCTCTTGGATATTGAATGCTCTCAGTAAGGGTATTGCAGACAGCGTTCTGTATGCAAATTCAGTGGCTGAAATATGGACAGAGTTGGATGAAAGCTTTGGTCAGGGCGAAAGGGAGTTCTGACATTGCGTCGTATTTCACCAAACCTAAGAAAACCTGGAATGAACTTCACACGGTGTGCAATCTTCCTAAGTGCAATTCTGAAGCTGTCCAAGCCTTACTTAAGTATGAGCAATTGAGCAAGAAGCCAAGAACAGAAGCTTGTCCAATGTTTTGTGGACATGAATTTACAATGTCATTAGGGGTAATATTTTACTAATTAAACCCTTACCTTCAGTTAGCTAAGCCTATGATCTACTGATTCATGAAGAGAGAGACAAAGGGAAGTTCAAGCTCCTCCTTTCATGGCAGAACATGCATCTCTTAGAGTTACAGGTCAAAACACTTCTTAACCTGTTAACACTTAAGGAGGATACAAAAGAAAATATGACAACAGGAAGAATATTGTTTGTGATCATTGCAAGAAAACAGGTCACACTCACTCACACGGAAAACAAGTGCTATAGGCTTGTTGGTTTCCCTAAGGACTTTAAGTTTACTAAAGGGAAGAAGATTGCTGCAAACAGTTTCAGTGGAAAGGATCCAGAATTGACTGAGGAAAATATCAACTACCAAAATAATACTGAAATGTATAACCAATTCTTGCAATTCATCAACTCTGTCCAATCTGGCACTCAAGGACAAGATTATGCTACCTATGGAGGTTCTAAGGCTCATGCTTTCTCTGCTCACATGGCAGGTATGACCTCAATTTCATTTAAGTCTTCGTCTCCACATTTGTGTAATACTATGTTATCAATTGTTGATCATGCTTGGATACTAGATACTAGAGCTACAGATCATATGTGTGCTCATATCAATCTTTTCATTGATCTTAAACCCCTTCACACTCCTAAATACACACTACCAAATAACCATAAACTCCCTATATTCAAGTCTTGAAAAAGTCACAATAAATCCTGAACTCGCCTTGGATGATGTTCTATTTGTTCCTAATTTCAAATTATCAAATACAATCTACTTTCTGTGGGAAAATTGTGTGATCAACTGGGACTGACTACCAGTTTTTCCAATGATCTTTGTATACTGCAGGGCCCTACCATGAAGAGGCCACTGGTTCTTGGTGAGAAAAATGGTGGACTCTACATTTCACAAGGGTCTGACTCTCGACAAGTTCCTTTCCAGATTGATATTGGTCATAGTAGTTGTTATACAGATGGCAACAGTTTGTTTCCGTCCATTTCGTGTAATAAACTTAGCAAGAATATTGATGCTAGTCTGTGGCACATGAGAGTGGGACACTTACCTGCTTATAAATTATAAATTGAAATCCATTGTTTCCCTTGATTCAGAAAATATTGATTCTTTGTCTAAATGTGATGTTTGTCCTAAAGATAGACAAAAGTTTCCTTTTCCACATAGTCAAAATCATAGCAGCCATCTTTTTTATTTGATTCACATAGGCATTTGGGGTCCTTATCATACCAAAACTCATAATGGTCCGTCTTATTTCCTCACCATTGTGGATGATTTCTCTAGAGCCACATGGACCTATCTTTTGGCTGCCAAAAGCAATTCTCAGATTTAATATAATCATTTGTCGTCATGGTCAATACACAGTTTAATACACTTTGATAATGCTTTGGAATTAGGAAGAGTAAAGCCCTCTCTCCTTTCTTTTGCCTTAAAAGGAATATATCACCAAACCAGTGTTAGGAACACACCTCAACAGAATGGAGTAGTTGAAAGGAAACACAAACAGTGCGGACCCAGAAATTTTAGGTCGTGGGGTCGTATCTGTGAGATGTTTATCAGCACGCGACATGTCGAGCATTAAGTAAAAAGGTACTTTCTTGTTACATTTTTTTCTCATTTCAGTTTATAATGTTTAACTAAAGCATTTTTTTTAATTTATTTAAATATTGGTGTCGAATAAAAACTTAAAATTGTAGATTTAAAAATAACATAAAATATTTAATGAAATAAGAGATTTCATGACTATAATTTTTAACAAAAATGATAAACAAAAACATGTAAAGAAAAAATATCTAATTTAACTCTGTGAGCAGAATGAGATGATGGTAGTAACTCATAAAATTAAAGATTATATTTATTAGAAAAATATTAACTTTAACTGAAAATAAATAATTATATTACAATGTAAAAATAAATTATAACTTATGGGGAGTAACCACGAGCATCTACTCTTTATATTTTAAAATTATATTATAATAACATCTTTACTAATGGTAACAAATATGTGTCTCTCTCCTCTCTCCCAAACATAATTGAGTTATTATTGTACTCAAATTTGATAATTTTTACTTATGTATTTTTATTGATTGTTTAATAATTCGTCACATCTTATTTTGCAAAAAATTTTACATTTTTTTATTATGTGGGAAAGGAATATGAGTATGCAATGAAGGAACGAAACAAAAAAAAGAAAAACAAAAAAAAGAAACGAACAAAAAAAGAAAATGGAAAGGGAAAAAAATAAACAAATATGTTGTTCAATAAAAGTAGTAGCTGAGTTTCAAACACTCAACCTAGGTCTTAAACATCATATTACCATAAGCTCAAGTAGCCGCTTTCCATATCGTCTAAGCATCCTGATTTGTCCAGATGGGTTTTATTAAATATATAATAACACTATACATCTAACTAAATATATATAAATATATATAAAAAATTTCAAAATTTCCGTGGGGTCGCGTGACCCCGTGTGACTCTACGTGGGCCCGCCCCTGAACACAAACATATCACTGAAACGTTTAGAGCACTGCTTATCCAATCCAATCTTCCTTAATATTTTAGGGGGGAATGTGTTCTCATAGCCACATATCTCATCAATAAATTTCCTTCAAAACTGCTCCAAGGAAAGAGTCCTTATGAAATACTCATTCCATTCCAAAATAAGGCTGCTATTCGGTTTAGGTTTACAATGTTCGGCTGAAGTTATTTTCAAATCAATATCAATATAAATAAAAATTGGTGTAGAATTTAAAAAAATTATATATAAAAAAAATACATCAAAACTTCTAGAAAACAAGTGGCAACAAGAGTATTTTATTTTATCAAATGCTCGCTGAAAATGTATAAAGGAAGTAGAGTTAGTTTGTCTAGTGAATAGTAACTAGGAGTCTTTTTTTGGGACGGAAGGAGTACTATTTGGGAAGTCTCCCAGTTATGCTCATTTAAGAGTTTTTGGATGCCTTTGTTTTGTGGCCACTTTAAAGCAAGGAACACAAAAAGATCATCAGCGTGTGTCTTCCTAGGATATCCCTATGGCAAGAAGGCTTACAAGGTATACAATATTTCCATACAGAAATTTGAAGAATCCAGAGATGTCAATTTCATTAAACTACTTTTCCTTTTCATACTGATGCCCGTACTGATTCCATCTTTCCCTCAACCAATATCTCAAGATATTCTTCTGAAGATGACACACCATCTTCAAAGTTCAACCTCAACTTCTATTCAACCAAATGTCCCACACAACCAAAGCCTCCCTAATTCTTAAAGTCCCTCTCGTATCATTCTAGACCGTTTGTCCACCTCTTTTACAAACAAGTCTTCAAATCCTCCGGTCATACCGACGAGGCGACGAGATACTACATATTCCACAAGGTCCCACACAACTCCTTTATATCTCAAAGATTACATTTGCTCTTCTTCTCTTTCATCTCTTTTCTCCACAAACACAGATCTTCCTTCTTGTGTGCATACTATTACATCAATTCCTTCCTCATCACACATATACTGTTGTACTCTATGCTCTAACTCAAGCTAGTCAACAATTTTTACATAGAGTTTCCCATATGCAGGAACCAAAGACTTATGAAGAAGCCACAGGTCATCCTGCTTGGGAGGAAGCCATGAGTAAGGAACTTAAGGCACTTGAAGATACAGGGACCTGAATTATTTGCTATCTTCCCAAATGCAAGAAACCCATCAACAACAAATGGGTTTATAAAATAAAATACAAGATGGAACTTGGAAGCCTTGAAAGTTACAAAGCTAGACTTGTCTTTAGAGGCTGCACTCAAAACGCTGGAATTGACTATTACGAGACGTTTTCTCGTCTGGTAAAAATGGCCACTATTAGGTGTCTTTTGGCCACAGCTGTCAAACACAAATGGCAAGTTTTCCAGTTAGATGTCAACAATACCTTCCGCCATGGAGATTGAGATGAAGACATATACATGAAACTACAGCCTGGTTTTCCATTACCAGAAAACAATCAAGCCTCACGCATCAGAAGTCTCTATATGGTTTAAAACAAGCATCCAGATAGTGGTATGCTAAACTATCCACAGTTTTGAAATCCAAAGGCTATGTATCTTCCAAGAATGATTATTCCCTTTTTACTAGAGAAAGAAAATCTTCAATTGTCCACTTGATTGTGATTGTATATGTGGATGACATCTTAATCATAGGAAATGATCTTGATGAAATTACTGATTTGAAATCTCATCTGGATTCTACTTTCAAAATCAACGACCTTGGACTCCTGAGCTACTTCCTTCGTTTAGAGGTTCTTTAATTATAACCAGTGCATGATTATAACTCAGAAGAAGTTCACTCTTGATCTTTTGAAAGAATTTGGTGGCCTTGATGGTCCTTCTGCTATTTGCCCTCTGGAGGCTCATCTCATCATCTGCAACTCCATATGACTGACAGTCCACCAATCTCAGATCCTGCTTCCTACAGAAGATTAGTAGGCAAACTCAATTTCTTAACACACGCAAGGCCAGACATCGCCTATGCAGTTCAATTCCTAAGCTAATTCATGCAAAATCCAAGACAGTCACATTGGGGAGCAGCAATGCATACTCTTCATATTCTCCATTGGAATCCGTCTCAAGGCATATTTTTCAATCCCACTAATAACTACAAACTAGATGTTTATTGTGAATCTGATTCGGCATCTTTCCCTACGTCTCGTCGCTCCGTCAGTGGCTACTTCATCACGTTAGGAGAAAGTCCTAGTTCTTGGAAAGCCAAGAAACAGCCCATTGTTTCTCTCAGCTCAACTGAAACTGAATATAGATCAATCCGGTGTGTGACTGCTGATATGGCTTGGATTTCGTCTCTTATCAAAGTTTTCCATCCCAGAGATCCTTCCTAAACCTGTCAAATGTGATAGCAAGGCAGCTATCTACATTTCCATAAGCCCCGTTTATCATGAGCGTACAAAACATATTGAACTAGGATGTTATTTGTTTGGTAGAAACTACAAGACGGTCTCATCAGAGTTGATTACATCCCTACTGGTGATCAACTCGCAGACATCTTCACCAAGAGTCTGTCGGGTCCTATCCATCACAAGTTACTTCCCAAGTTGGGGGTTCTTTCACCCTCCAACTTGAAATACACATTTAGCTTGATTTCTTCTTCTACTCTTTTTAGTGATGTGGCTTGTGTATCAGTCCATAGCCTGTAATGTTGAACCCAATTCTCAAGATCAGTTCTTTTGTTACAACAAACTCCTCTCTCGCTATGGCTCTGTTCTTCAAGCTCCAGAGCCAGATTCATCTTCTTGATTGAATCATGAACAAAACCAACATAGAACGGTGATACAAGTGCCTCTTATATGCAAGTTATGAACTTCATGTTTTTATCAAAAAAGAAGAAGAAGAAGGAAAAACAAATTAAAGGAATAATTAAGGAAATTGCAAATTGGATTGTTATAAAAGGAAGGCAAAGGAAGAGTTACCCTGAGCAACAGCTTTTACACCTTCCTCCAAGGCTTCTTTAGTAGGGAAAACTTTGGAGATCAAGCCTAGCTCCTTAGCCTCTGAACCAGTAAATTTACGGCCAGTTAAAGACAGCTCCATTGCATTTCCGTATCCAACAATTCCAGGAAGCCTCTGGAGTGTTCCGAGGTCAGCAGTAATGGCCATGTCAACCTCTCTAACCGAGAAATAAGCATCGGCCGCGCAGTACCTAATGTCGCAGGCAGTAATGATGTCAATTGCACCGCCGATGCAGGCGCCATGGACGGCGGCAATCACCGGCTTCCTACACCTCTCGATAGCCGTCACCGCTTCCTGCAGGAATTTGATGTCACGCCGGACCTTCTCGCCGGTGCGGCCGGGTTCAGCGGATCGGGACACAATTGAGCCCGATGCAAGAATATCCACATCGATTCCGGAGCAGAAGTTGTTCCCGGCGCCGGCCAAGACGATGACGGAAAAATTGGGGCTTTCGTCGAGCGATGCAAGGGCTTTTGGGAACTCGATGAAGAAATCGCGGGAGAGAGCGTTAAGGCGTTCAGGTCGGTTCAAATATACGGTAACTATCGGAGAATCTGCAACGATATGCAGTGATCGGTACTCCATTTTAGGCCCAAGGATGGAAGGGATGCCTTGTAATAGGGGTGAGCAATCGAACCGATACCGAAATTTCCCGAAAAAACCGAGAATACCGAACCGAAAAATACCGAACCGAAAAAGTACCGAGAAGGAACCGTACCGAACCGAATGGTCGGTACGGTATTCGGGAACGGTACGAGGTGACGTCCCATACCGAAAATCCCGTACAGAACATATATACTAAAATATTATAAGAAATAATACCCCGGAGTTGTATTTTTATATTCCTTCACTTAATAATAATTTTTTAAAAAAAAATTGGTTAAAGTTCTATGATGTGTAAATCATACTTTTATTTGTGTTTTAATTTTTGTGTATGAACATAAAAGTATTCACAAAGATTCACAAAGACTCGAAATACTCCTTTGTCGCCATTCATTTTTTTAGTTTGTGAAATATAAACTAAATTTTGATACGCATCTCTTGCATTTAAATATTCTTTTGTTTTTATTTTTCATGTTTTTTTATTTAAATTCACTTTCAATTTTCAAAAATAAAGGGGTATTGTTAAATATTAACGTGTAAAGTAGGTATGTATGTTCATCCCGATTTATACCGAAACCGATACCGAACCATCCCAAACCATACCGAACTGATATTTCGGGATCGGGATCGGTACGGAGTAAAATCTCATACCGAACTGAAATATTTGGTACGGTATCGGTACGAGCTAAATACCGTACCATACCGTACCATGCTCACCCCTACCTTGTAATGCCAACGGGAAAGATATTGTCCCATTTTTTGGGAAAAAAATTATCCCTGTGTCCCCAGATATTCTCCTTTTGATTGTTGGTAGTTTCGAAGAATAGATGAAAAAAGGTGAAAGTTTACCAAAATACCCTTAGTGAAAATTTGTAGGGTGTATTAAATAAGTTGGAAAAGGTGTAATAAATAAAGTAAGTGGGGGTAGTTGTGGTATTTTAAATGTTAAAAAAGGTAATAAGAAGATTTATGTGGAACAAATAAAAAGGGCTAATGTGAAGATATATGGGGGACGGATGATATAAAATATAGAATAAAATAATAAATTCTTTAAATGATTCGTTTTTATATTTAGTTCTCGTTTATCAAATATTACTCCGTATATTTTTAGTTCTTATTGATCAGGTATCCTTCCACAATTCTTCCTCCGTCAATCTTTCCGTTCCAGGACACGCTCTACGCGCACACATACTGGCAGTTCTACTGCAACTGCAAGATCTCCGGCACCATCGATTCCATCTTCGGCAATAGCAACGCCGTGTTGCAAAACTGCACCATCGCCATACGTGATGGTGTAAATTACCACGCAAATGCTAAGTATAAGTAATCAGAAGGGTTGTATGTGGAAACACCTGTAACCCGGTTTGTTATTAATAAGAACTATTACAAAGTACAAGCCGTGTGGATCAATAAAAGCATGCATCACAAATGAGGCTTTTAAGGGTATTTATAATAATCCTAAACACGTCAAGCACGTCTCTGATTATCCAGCCGGTCAGCAAACTGACCGGTTCCCTAGGCCGACTTCAATATTAGAATCTGTGTCTTCGCCTTCTGACCGGTCGGACAGCCCGGGTCGGACAAGTCAGGTGGCGTCACATTTGGTACCTCCCAGTCGGTCAGACCTATCGGGCGGTACCCATGGGTTATTACCCATCAAGGAGTCCTCCGATTCCCAGTCCTGTGGGATCCATCAGGGGCGGGAAGCATATGCGACCGTCTTTTCAAATTAGAACTGCCCAAACGATTTTTGGCAGGAAAATGGTCGCAGCAAACCAGCGCCAACTCAAGAATATTTGAATTTTGAATTTTTCAAAACCGGGTACCGAAGGCGGGAGAATCTTTATTGAGATCTGGTACGGAGCCGCCGATTTGTTGTGCCGTTTCGTCTCCCCGAGAGATTATGATGACGAATCATTTCGGCTGCCACGTGTTGCCTCGCCATTCGTTCAGCTGGGCGGCACCTCCCCTATATAAAGCGAGGTTCCCCCTTGAATTTTCTCACTTGCAAATCACCAACTAAAAAACTACCCGGTCGCTTTAACTATTTCCGAGTCCTCTGAGTCTTCTAGTCGCTTCCAAGTAAGTCTTTTTCCTTCCCCCTTTCTGAGTCATGTCTGACCGCGAAGATAGCCAGAACCCTTCTGTTCATTCTTACGGTTCTGGCGACCGGTCTCTGACCTCCGGTTCCTCTTCTTCTTCCTCATCATCTTCTGAGCGCCTGGCTGTTCCTCCATAGAAGCAGCCGGTTGATGCCCCCACTTGTGCCCCTTCTTCTTCCGCGGCACAAGTGCTCTCGATTGCCCAGCCTGGGGATGAGGGCTTCATTCTGCTGAACGACCGGTTGCTCCAACAGCAACCGTCGCACATGCAGAAGGCTCAAGTCCACGAGCTGCGTAATCTAATGCCGGATGGGTACCAATTGACCTACTGAGCGTCGTGGAAGAATATTATTTCTCTCCATGCCGGTACAACGATTGGTATCCACTACCACTCCATCAAGGACTTGGGTGAATTCTCTGTCCACCCGTTCAAAGTCCTTTTCCTTGAGACATACAGAATCATGCCCGGGCAGATGGCCCCAAATGGTCACCGTATGCTCAATAGCTTCATTAATGTCTGTCGGTTCCTTCGTATCCCTCTCTCCCTCTGTCTCTTTGATCACATGTTCGATGTTCGGCCCGGGTCCAAGGAAACCCTTGGATTCGTGGTTGTGTCCTCCCATCAGGGCCGAGCATTTCTCTGTGGCCTTCCTCCTTCTAACAAGAAGTGGAATGACAAATACTTGTCTATCAAATTCCCCCCGGCTGCTTTCCCTTTCGTCCAAAATGTCTGGGGGAAGAGAATCAAGCGCCAGGTCAAACCCCAGGAGGCCGATGACCTGGTCACTTGGGAGGCCACTCTCCAGGCCGGGGACGCCTCCACCCGCAGTCTTTACAACGTGGGGAAGTGCGGGGTCTACCCTGGTAGGGAGACTGACCCCGAGCTAGAGATTGTTCTGACCGAGGCGATCCCTCATGCCATCCCCCTCCACCGGGTGAAAGGTTCAAAAGCCCCGGTCTCCACCACCACCAGTCCTTCGCGCCCGGGGAAGAAGAAGAAGGAGAAAGGTTCAACCACTGCCCTTCCATTTATATTTGTTTTTATATTTTTAACTCTCATTCACTAACCGGTCTTCCTTTCTTTGTTTCAGAGGTGAAGTTCAATTCCAAGTTCGCCACCCCCAAGATCGTTATTGAGGAGCCTTCCTCCGCCCAGCCCCTAAGCCAACCCTCCGGCCAGCCGTTTTCCTTGGATGAGCAACCTGCTTAGTCTCATCAAGACACCAACCAACCCATCCACTCCGGAGAGCTCTACATCAACGTAGATACCATGGAGTTTGAGAACTTGATCGGGGAGACCGGCCATACATCAGAGGCCGGTCAAGGCGGCCAACAAATTGAGGGGGGCCGCGATGAAGAGGAGGCCACCTAGGAGGCCCTTCAAAGGAAGCAGCGGAGGGCCGAGGAAGTAAACCAACCGGCCCAGTCCTCCGACGCCGGCAAAGCGCACGGCCAGCTCCGGCCGTTCTCCCTCATGGTCCGGTTTGACGAGGAGCTTTTCCAGGCCTTCCAGTTTGACCTGCAAGAGGTAAATCCCTTGCTCCTTTTGTCTATTTTATTGTTTTCCAAATTTATTTTCCTGAAAAATCTCCATGTCTTTAAAGCAGGTCGGCCGGATCGGCTAGGAGTACTTCACCCAGCTGGTGAAGTCCAGGGACGAGGAGAAGGCCCGGCTGGAGGCCATGATGGTGACCTGCCGGAAGGATGCCCAGGCCGCTCATGCCAAAGCGGAGAAGGTTGAGGAGAAGCTTGTAGAGCACTACGCAGTTTACCGCCAGCTCTACGCCAAGCATGAAGGTCTTCTCAAGGCTGCAAAAGAGGCCGACACGCAGGCCCAGGAGAAGATCGAAAAGCTTGAAGCCGACAGCGCCCGGTCTGCTGAAGAGATCGCCCGGCTAAGAGATGAGCTGGCGAAAGAGCGGGCGGAACGAGCTGCCCTTGCCGCTGCCTGGGCAACCCAAGAGCCGGAAGAGTTCGCCGCCCTAGCTCTGCCTGACTAGGAGACAGCCATTCGCTTCTTCCAGGGCCTATACAAGCACAAGGTGTCGGCCGAGGTCGTTGACGAGATCGGGACCTTCAGCTTTGAGAGTGGTCAATACGATGAACGCCGGGCTCTATACGGCATCCTCTAGCAGCGGATCCAAGGCTTCGAGCCTAAGGCCCTTTCTCTGCCCGAGCTGCATGACGAGGCGCCGGTTCCACCCTTCCTAGGGATCTGATCTTCAAGGCCTTCTTCCCTCTATTTTTTTTATTTTTCATATGTAATGATCTTCCTCCAGGCACTTTTTGTATGACTTTCCAATATTAATGAAAACTTTTTCTTCCATATCGTATGCTGAGTGGCTAAGTACTTGACTATTTATACTATATGTCTGTTATAAATTTCAACCGTGTAGATTAGTAAGTAACAACCTGGCTGTACTTACTCAGTCTACTATACAGTTTTCACGGTCGGTTTATAAACCGGGGAGAGAATAGATTCGCGATGGGAGACCGGGGAGAGAATAGATTCGACTAATCTCCTCCCAGTCGGTTTATAGACCCGCAATGGCAACCTAACTTGTCCTTTTTGAAAGCATAGTCTTTTGCCCGGGTGCTCGTAAAGCCGACTTGTCTTTCACAACGGCTTACTGCCCTTGTTGAAAGGTAAGCCTCGCATTTTTCCATAATCATTTAACATAACCAGCCAGGATGCTCTCCCTTTAGTTATGTCATTTGACCTCTGTGTTAGTACGGATGAAATGTATGATCGGTTCGACCGGTCTTTTTTTTTTAAGATGTCCAATTCGATTGGACATTTAGCCGGGCAGATTGGTGTGTAGCCAATCACCGGTTGGTGCTTAGGAACAATCTCTCTAGAAAGAACAAAATTTTATTCACAACTGGGAACTCATTACACTTTATCTAAAAAATTTACGTAAGTGGTGAGAGTTCCAATGTCGGTCAACTCGTCCACCCTCCATGGTTTCCATCTGATATGTGCCCGGTCTGATGATCGCCCTTATGCGATAGGGTCCTTCCCAATTGCGCACCAGCTTGCCTCTTTCATTGGGCTTACTAGCATCCCTTCGGCGTAAGAGTTCATCATGCACTTGGAAGTATCGTGGACCCACCCGGTTATCATGATCTCTTTACTGACTGCTGGTAACCAGCCATTCTAACAGCTGGCATAGTTCTACGTTCCTCCACCGGGTTCAACTCAGCCAAGTGGTCGGTCTCGTTCTGACTGGGTTGATACACAGTCTCTCTAAACGTCGGGAATTCTTCCTCAATTGGCAACCGGGCCTCACACCCATAAGTGAGCACGAAAGGCGTCTCACTTATGGGGCAGTGCCTCCAACCACTTGTGCCCTTCTTCACCCAACCTCTTCTTTAGCCCGTCCAGTATTGTTCGGTTAGCATTTTCAACTTGGCCATTTCCTTGCGGATATGCTACTGCGCCTTGTTATGCTTGATTCCAAAGCTAGCCAAGTATGCAGTGAACCGGGGGTTGCGAAATTATGGGCCGTTGTCGGTGACAATCATCTTCGGGGCTCCAAACCGGGTTACAATGTTCTTCCAAATGAATTTCTCACACTTCCGTACGGTTATGGTGGCCATCACCTCAACTTCAATCCATTTTGTGAAGTAATCTATGGCGACCATGACGAATTTCTTCCTGCCTTGCGCGACCGGGAAAGCCCCAATAATGTCAATCCCAAATCGAGCAAAGGGTATAACAATGGAGGTCGGTTGATAATATGTAGCCAGTCTGTCGGGATGTTTGTAAAAGACTTGGCATGTCCTACATTTTTGCACATACCGCTCACAATCCCCAACAATGGTCGGCCAACAGTAGCCAAGCAATGTTATCCTCTGAGCCAATGTACGGGACATTTGATGGGCTGCACAAACTCCCTCATGTACCTCGGCTATCACCCGTTCTGCTTCTGGGTTGGTGAGACAACGCAGTAGAGGACCTCCAATGGCACGTTTGTATAAGTGATCGTCTAGCACTTGGAACCGGGGTGCCCGTAAGACAACCTTCCTGGCTCGTTCCTCGTCGCCTGGTTTCTGGCCGGTCATTAAATACTCCATGAGATCGTATCTCCAATCATCGTCCACTTCGATCACCCCGGTAGCTGAGCTCTCACCTTGCTGAATGGCTGCGTTTTCAAACCGGTCAGCACTGGGTTGGTCCAATATCTCGATTTTGGCCAACTTTGAGACATGCTCCGGGCAAGCTTGCATTAACTTTGAAAGCATATCAGCATCAGTGTTTTCTGACCGGGGTATCCTGGTTAGACGAAACTCCTCTAACTCCCTTAGAAGTGCTCGGACCAGGTCACTATACCGAGCCAGACGTTCTTCTTTGACTTCCATCTCACCATTGATCTGTCCAACTACAAGACTTGAATCGGAACGAATTCTCATTCTCTTTATTCCGAGTGCCTGGGCTAATCTAAGGCCACCAGCTAGTGTCTCATACTCCGCCTCATTGTCGGTAAGCTTGAAGTTGAAAACCAAGGCATGGTAGATTTTGAACCCTTCTAGAGTAGTGAAAACTATGCCGGCTCCGCACCCCTCCAGTCCAGAGGCCCCATCAATGGTCATATCCCACCACGGTTCAACCGTATGGGAAGGTCCAGCTTCAGGCTTCAGACCGGTCAGTTCAACAAGGAAGTCGGCCAGAGCTTGACCCTTGATTGCGGTCCTGGGTTTATACTTGATCTTGAACTGAGTGAGCATCATTGCCCACTTGATCATCCGTCCCGAGGAGGTTGAATTTCGGAGGACCGGCCCAAGTGGCTGATCGGTCAGTACTTCCACAGCGTGAGCTTGGAAATACGCGGTCAGTTTTTTGTCCGTTATGAAAAGTGTGTACGCTGTTTTTTCAATGGCAGTATATCAGCTTTCTACCCCGTTAAGTGCTTTGCTCACGTAGTAAATAGGCCTCTGGCTGTCTTCATTTCTTATCAAAACAGAGCTTACAGCGTTTTGGGATATACCCAGATACAAGTACAAATCTCACCTGGTTTGGGTTTGGACAAAACTATATCTGAAACTAAGTACTCTTTTAGCTGCTGGAAAGCTTCTTCACATTCCCGGTCCCATTCAAATGTGTTGGCCTTCTTCAAGACTTTGAAGAAGGGAAAGGCTCTTTCCCCTGACCGGGAAAGGAAACGGCTCAAAGCTGTTAATCGCCCGGTGAGTCGCTGCACGTCCTTTAGTGAACCGGGCAACCTCATCTCGGTTATGACTTTAATCTTCTCGGGATTAGGCTTAATACCTCGCTTGGTTACCATGAACCCCAAGAACTTGCCGGTCTTTACAGCAAAGATGCATTTCTTGGGGCTGAGGCGCAAGTTGTACTTAGCCATGATCTCAAAGCACAGCCTCATGTCAGCCGGGTGGTTCATTGCTCCCGGACTCTTGATCAGCATGTCATCTACGTAGGTTTCCATGGACTTACCGAGGAGTGGCTTGAAAAGCCGGTTTACCATCCTCCGATAAGTAGCGCCTGAATTCTTAAGTCCAAAAGCCATCACCCGGTAGCAATAGGCCTGGACACGGTACCGGTGCAATACCTTCACCGGCGCCGGTACCGAGTACCGTCACCGTCACCGTCACCAGAGACGAGCAACCAGTTCCTGGAACCGGTACCCGTATCGCCTCAACCAGTACCGTGTCTGGTTCCCAATTTTCGTCACCGGTACTGGTTTAATTTTTTTTTCCTTTTTTGCTCCTGCCAACGGACACCTGCAAAGTGCAAAAAAAAAGAAAAGACAGTGGGGGGGGCGGCCTCAACGGCTCTTGAGCCGTTAGAGGGAGGGGGGGATGGGGATTGGGGAGGGGAGGGGGAGGCTAAAAAACATTATAAATACCCCTTTTTCATTAAATATCACACTCAAAATCTCAAATACTCAATCCATCTCTCATTCTCTCAAATCTCAATCTATTATTTTTAATTTCTTAATTCTTATCAATCATTCTTAATTTCTTAATTCTTATCTATCTTTTTTAAATATATTATATTTTAATATATAAAATTTTGAAATTATTTGAAATTTTCGAAATTTAATATATCTTTAATATCAAAAAATATATAGTTTATATTTTAAATATATTCACTATTATTTATTGAAATTTTCGAAATTTTAATATATAAAATTTCGAAATTTTTTAAATTTTTCCAAAAGTAATATACTTTTTTAATATCAAAAAAATATATATTAAAATGTCGAGGGAGTCCGGTAGAAGGTCCGTGGATATGGGCGATGTGAACCGAAGTTTGAGTAAAGGCAAAGCTAAAGCCACCTCCGACGGTTCGACCTCACGCGGACGCGGTTCTCGACGAAGACACTATGTCTCTTCCTTTCCTACTATCTCCGATCACTTAATCGGGGGCACTATGACGAATGAAGAATTCGAAAAGATTTATTCTGGTAGAGGGACGCTAATCTCCCCACTCTTGATAGTGTATTCGAAGATCTTGATCAAACAGGACTGGATAATCTAGACGGGGACGAGGAGCATACACCACAGAGCAACGACGTCGACGTGGAGGCAGGTGAGCCCGAGACCTCTCGAGGTCCGGACAAAGGTAAAAAAAGTATAAATCAGATTTATTTGTTTATCATTTTGACAAAGACACAAAAGATGATATAGTTTATGGAACTTGTAAACATTGCGGGACCGTCATAAAAATGGGAGTTTCTGGCGGTTATGGCGGTCCGGAAAAACAACTAAGGTCGAGGCATCCCGTGGAGTACGCCAAATACGAGGCAAAAAAGAAGGGACGGCAAGAACTACTACTACTACTACTACCACTACTACCACTACTACCACTACTACCACTACTACCACTACTACCACTACTACCACTACTACCACTACTACCACTACTA